ACAGTTGGTCCCGGCAGTAAGTTAGCAATCTCCTATGCAGTCCATTATACACTAATGAGGTATTTTGCAGAAGCATCACAATGGTGTTTTCTTACGGAAGAACGCACAGCTAATGGGAAAGGAGAAAATGTAAAAGTAATGTGGTGAATCATTTATCCTATCTGAGGAGCTGTCCTGTGGTGTTTACATTAGAATTCTTCTTCCTATCTAGGCAAGATGTTATACAAATAGAAACATGGTCAGCTAACTCATACTTAAGAGGTTTATCATACCAGTTATCATAAGCTTTCTGATTATGCAGATAAGCTAAGTGTATTGTCTGTCTTCAGTCTTTGCGAATGATTGTTTGCTTGAAAAAGCATTTAGATTGTATGGTTATGAAGGACTATTTTATTAATTTCTATGTTAAATGTACTTAATTGAAGAAATAATCTCAAGTACTTCATAACATAGATATTATTCAGTCAAAAATAGCTTTTGGACAAGAGTCATCAGTTCCTTGAGGTATCTGGCACTTTTGGAAAACATTAGTGACAGGACCTAAGGGGTAATTTTATTTTTTTCTTCTTCACTCTTACTTTCTCCAGTTTAGATGTATTTCATGTAACTTAGTCTTTTTGCATTAAAAAATACCAAAACCAACATTGCTACAAATTACGTTCAGCATTTTGATTGTTAATTTCAGATCATTTGCTGATAAAAGCTACTATTATTTCATGATTGTTTTACCTGATTCTGTATTGGCTTGCAAGGGGTCTTACGCAAATCTGTAGTTCTTATTAATGCTTATAGATGCATGCACATTTTTATTATTGACTACTGGGACAATAAGGTTTTCTGGGGTTTTTGACATTTCTTTTCAATTTAAAATAATTATGTTGCCACATATGGTTCTTTGGGTTTCAACCATATTTTAAGGACATCTTACTTTAACATGCTAAAGTACTTTTTTCTTTCTCTGTTATATTCCATTTCTCTTCTAAAAATCTAGTAAGGTTGGTTTTGTTCTTTGTAATTTTTAGAGTTTCTCTTTTATCCAAAATGCACTGTAAAACTTTACATATGTGTGATTTCACATTTACATAACAGTATGTCTAAGCCACTTCCACATTCTACATTTTGACCTCTTTTTATGTACAGTCCTACTTGCAAATATATTTTGCCAGTCAGTTTTGTTTATTACCTTCCTCATACAGACTTAGCCCCCTTTGCTTCTGGTTCACTTAGTCTATTGTTTAAGGTAATGTAGGAAGTGGATACAGAGAGCAGTATTAGCCTTTATTGTACACATCCTCTTTTTATTTATTCTTTCGCAACCTTTAAATCACTTAATTCTTTTATTACTTTGCTCTAACGGGTGATTCCATATATATTTCAAGTTGATGCAATATAGAATAGATCAGTGATATCTCAACCTCTTCTCTGCCAAGCCTTATTTTAAAAAGCAAAACATCTTGATCCTTTTTCCTTCTAGTCATGATCAAAGGAGAATTTTTAGATTTCTCTCTGAAGCTGAGTCTCCCTGTTAACAGTTTATGTAATACAGCATTTTGCTAGTCTTCTTTTTGTGGTACTTTGTACTGCTCATGGATTTCTAAAATGCAAATTTGGGGCTTGTTGCTGCTCATCTTTTCACTCATCTGAATTTACAATATCATGTTCTTAGGTGCTTTTTAAAATGTAAAATATTTCCTCTTGATTTCTACCCCCACTCCTCAGACCGTATTGCATATTAAGCTTGTTTTTTCAGATATAGCTTTTAGGGACTTCTGAAGAAAGCTCATAAAATATCTCCTTTGAAGACTTTAGATAAAGTTATGTTGAGAATATTGTGATGATTTTAAAAATCAATGCAGTAATGGGATATGGGATGGGGGGCAGTTGAAGAATATCTAGGGAATCTCAGGGGATTCAGAGTATGGGTGATATCCATGATAAAACGTCATCTGGTCAGGGAGGAGTTGAACAACTTTTTGTGTTTTCCTTAGTTCAAGCTGACATGAGAAGTTGGAAACACCCAACCATCAGATGCCAGGGAAACAGGGTAAGCTGGCAGTGGGCTTGAGGGGAGGGATAGGGCACAAACCAAATTGTATATTAAAGAGCATCCAAGGCAGGTGTATTTTAAAGCTGGTTACAATCTCTCTCTTCCTGTACTGTTATGCTAGTTCATAGTGCTGTTAAAAATGAGAGAAACTTTAATGTTTTGAGGTATCAGTCTTGCAGATAGATGTAGTAGAGCAGATCCTCACATCTTGGTGCTGTTAATCTGTAGGTCCGTGTCACTTGTAGTGGGACACCTGAATCTGCAAGGAATTTTATTTTAATGAAGGGGACATGTAGCATCTGTATTTCAATGAACACTGAACTTTTTTGGAAGGACTAGTTTTCAGCACAGAAAAGGGGTTCTCCTTTGAGGAAAACTGTGTAATCTTGATGATTTTTTATCTTACACTGAAACTATCTTTTGAAAATAGAGTATTTTTACTTTCCAAATCTTAAATATTCTAATAATTGTAGACTAAAAAGTAGCACTTAAGAAGTTATTCTATAAGGAGGCTGTGACATTTCTTATAAAAAGTTGGTTTTCATAATGTGTACTTCATTTTTAGCAATTATGATTCACTTCCAGTTTTGAGAGCGTGACTGTAGAGAGTTCAGGATATGCCTTAATGTTATGTAGAAAATAAGGGTGGACTAAGGGGTGGAAAGCATTATGGTTGAGAGAATTGATGAGGAGCTTTGGAAAAAATAAGGAATGCTGGTGAATGGACTACATTATGCTTCATTAAATACAGTAGGGAAATCCATGGAATGATTTTGGAAGGAATATTTTTAACTTCTTACTGATACTATTTAAAGGGCCACTAATTCAATAGTTACATTTTTGTAAGACTTTTTTTTTTCTAGAATAACCATCTATGATTTCTGTAAATGTAAAAGGAGAGACAAAGATTTACAAGTTTCTTTTAATACATTGGTGGAGAGCTCATATGATGAGGGACAAGATAAGAGAGACTTGGACTTGATGATCTTTGAGGTCTCTTCCAACCATAACGATTCTAAATTGCATAATCTTGCTTGGGGAATTTAGCAAGTAATGATAAATGAAAAATAATGTTAGATAGTAAATTCTGGGAAGAAAATGTAAAATGTATTGTTTCATTAGGTAATGCATGTCATCGTATATTTTATTTTTCAGAGTAAAATGGTGCTTCTGTCATCTAATTAGAAAAGAATAGTATATATATTAAAGCATAGGAATATCGTGGTAGACAGATTGATGTATTTGCGTAGCAATTTGGGAATATCTGTATATGGCTGAATAATCTCTCAATTTAAGCCAAAATAATTTGCAGATTTGTATTCATTTATTCTCAGATTTTTGCTTCTTTCTAACCATACAACAGAGTAAAGCTTTGGGGGAATTACGTTTCAGTATAACCTGTTGTGATGCGTTTGGATTAGGTTTTTGTCCTTCATTATTAAATGTGCAAGAAGCTGTAGCTTTCTCAGGGATTAGCAACAGATACAATAGACTAAGCTTAATAGGATACACTTGTATGCAAGGCCTTGGGCCAGTAGTTCAGTTTTCTTCTACTCCAAGTTGATGGCTGTGGAATATGTTCAAGTCACTGACTTCAAACTTTTGTGCAGTTGAGTCGCTGTTAGTCATGAGATAGAAATGTGATTTGATTTTTATGTGATAATAGATAAGAAAGACAAGTGCTGCCAAGGCAGCATTTCGTCTCAAAATAAGATGTCCTGTCTGGATACTGAGACCACAGTATAATGGCAGTAAGTGCCATAGCAATGCTATAATAATATTAATACCACCACAACAGTTAAGTGGCCAATTAATGTAGAAAGTAGATGTTCCAAATCTTCTGATTAGGGTTTCCTTCTGCTTGGGGGCTCATACTGATGTTTGTGGTTTGGATTTTAAGAAGCAAGTTCTTTAGCGGTGTGTGTGCGTATTATTTCTTTAAACAAGTCTGCTGAAATATCTTTCCAGTTTGAGCAGGGGTGGGTGTTGCATATTAAAAGAAAAAAAAAAAAAGATACTCCTGCAAGCAGCTGATGATCAGGAAAGCGACTGAATAGAGCTGGTTATTCAATATCAGGCATAATTTAACTAGATCATATTGGAAGCAATCTTAAGTTTGCAGAATTGATCTGTATCAACTGTAGAGCTTTGAGTAATCAAAAGGACAGTCTGCTAGAATACTGGACTACAGTTCTATGGAGCATTCAGCAGTGGAGCTGACATTTTCAAAGGAACTTGTCAGACCTCTTTGGTACGTCTGTATTAAAAATATACATTCTTATATTCTTAATCATCTGTAAATACTTTATCTCGGATAGTGTCAGTGTGGATGATTTTCTGTAAACTGGTGGCTGCTTTTAGCTGTAGATGTAAAACTACTGTAACAAAAATGAAATTATACATTTGTTTCATGAAGGCAAAATACATTTCATTTTTCAAACTTGGTGTTAATGTTATAACCAAAATGGGTAAATTTTTTTCTTAAGTTAAAAGGCATCAATTAATAAAGCAAGGAGAGAGGTGTTACTTAGAAACACTAACATAATATCAAGGGCATTGGAGTTATACATCTCAAAAAAAAAAATTAAAAGCTTATTTTATGGTTGAAAACATTTTCTGGTTTCAGTGTAGTTTAAATGACTTATTTTCAGTGGAGGTGAATATATGTATCTGAGGACACATTTTGGATCTGAAAGTAGAAGTTGTAAGAAATGCTAAACTTCTTCATATATTGTATTATAAAGATGCAAAGCTGTGTGATATGTATAAAGAAGTAAATACTGTTTTCAGGATCTGCAGTTACATGTTTGTAATAAATTGAAAAAAGTTGCTATTTTTATTTCTGACCAGAATACAGAAAATACAAGTTACGTGTTTTTCTTTTCTGGTGTTTGTTTTTTTGTTTGTTTTGCGTAAATATTTTGAGAATGTTATTTGATAATGTTTTCTAACTTCTGAAGCAGATTTAGAAGAAAGTATCAATGAACACGAGTTGGAGCCTTCACCCCCCAAAGGGAAAAGGAGGGGTCGTAAGGGAAAGCCAAGAAAAACAAATTTAAAAGGGCAATCAGAAGACACTAGATCTACGTCCTCACATGGCACAGATGAAATAGAAAGCAGTTCCTATGTAAGCAGTAAATATGCTAAACTTCTTAGAAGACAGAATTGCATATTTCTTCTCTGCAAATATAATTCTTATTAAAATTTGCATTTGTCTGAGCCTCCAGCTGGTGGCCACAGGCTTTTAAAATTAGAACCTTATTTGTAACCCAGCAGTATATTTTAGTAAAATGTTTTTCTTTCAGAGAGACAGGTCTCCCCACAGAAGCAGCCCCAGTGATACAAAACCTAAATGTGGATTCTGTCATGCAGGTGAAGAAGAAAATGAAGCTAGAGGAAAGCTTCATATATTTAATGCCAAAAAGGCTGCAGCACACTATAAGTGCATGGTGAGTAACAGTAGTGTTGTTAACCAGTCTATTACGTGAATTTTGTCTGAATTGCTATTGTAGATTTTAATACCGTACCCTCGCATGTAATTATGCATGAGTATTGTCTGTGTACTGATGATCTCTTTAAGCGCTCAAGTGTTGCAAAGCGAGCAATTAATTTATTTTCACTGCGGGCAATATGGATAAAAGTTGGCTATGTGTTAAGAGATGGAATTACAGGGAGAGTCTTTAGCTTATTAAAAATGCTCCCATGGCGTCTAAATGCATACACAGTATTTAAAAAGGAAAACAGAAAGCAGTTTTAACCAAAAGAATCCACTCCAAAAATAAAATACCTTTACTCCACAGGCATTCAGACAAAATCCAGGAAGAATCCATGAACTTCATTAATTTTCTGACCAATGGATTCAGGCTGTGTGACTCAAGTAGAGTGGGACATGGAAGTTATAGAAAACCCTTGCTTTTAGGTGATCACATTTATAGAACTGTAAGGCTGAAAAGAATCTGCTAATTTCAATGAACATGAGTAGATAGTGCTATCTTTCATATAAGTCATTCTATGAATGAGGCAGGGCTTTGAGTAACAAACCTCCATGGTTCCTGTTGCACCTCAAAATGAATGTGGAGTATTAATTGTCTTCCTATACCTAGCCTCGCTAAACAGAGAGCTGGTGTGTACCAGCAGCCTTGAGTCTTAAGAGTATTCTTCACTACTTTGTGTATCTGAACTTCAGTTTTAAGACAGTTTAAACTTAATATACCAGGATGATGATAGTAGGGACGGTACTTATATGCTCTGTTGTCATTGCTCAGGGCTTTTCAGGTATGTTGCCATCAGCTATGCCATGAAGCTGAATTCTATGTGTGGCACAGGGAAGGAAATGGAATATTCCTAAAAAGTTCAGTGATGTAATTGATAATATTGCCCATTTATTACTTTGTATTTTCATCGTGTCATTATTTCTTGTGTACTCCTTTGTCTTTTAAAATACATTTCTCCAAGGCAACAAATGTAATTAAAGCGGTCAGGTGAGTATCAGAAGGAATACTCATCGTAGTAATTACTCAGCATGGGGTTTTTTCTTAGTTTGTCGGTAAAGCACATGCTATCTGAGATTGCAGATGGAGATGTTCAATACTCGGTTATTCCTGCACATTAAAAAATTTCTAATCATGTCGGTGATCTGGAATTATTTTGACTTGCTTGTTTTACAGTTGTTCTCTTCTGGCACTGTCCAGCTAACAACAACTTCAAGGGCAGAGTTTGGTGATTTTGATATCAAAACTGTACTTCAAGAAATCAAGAGAGGAAAAAGAATGGTATGTATCTGCAGAACGCGATGAAAGTGCTACAGATTCTACTAAGGTGTATATATAGCTCTGCCTCATTCCTTTTGTGAAAAATCTTTCCCATCTATTTCTAAACACAAAATTGAAATGTATTGTTACTTTTGGGACAGGTAGCCAGATAGGAATCACCTTAAAAATGAGTGGTGTTTGGGCATGTGGTATTTAGGGTTCTTTATGACAGTGTACAAAGTAAATTATTAGCCTTCCTGTAACTATAAAAGAGTAATAGCTTTAGATCCTGTGTTACTAAAAGCAGACTGTATAAAACTACAAATAAACTTAGAGAATATGTTCTTGCAATGACATGTTTCCAACTGTTTTGGTGGTTTAATATGAAAATGTATTAAGAACTCATCTCTGAGGATGTTGGTAAAATGTCACATTGTATTTTGTTAAATTTTTTTAAGCAGTAAGAAATAGGAGGGAGGGGGGAGAAGACAAACAACTCCTAACAATATTGTTCCTTGAAAAAAAATCATTTAAGATTCTTCATATATTAATATACTAACTTCAGTGGCAATAAAATGATCTTGGAAATGCATTAATATGTGCAATTGTGTAGCAATTTTTAATGCAACGGACAGGTGAATCCTCGTGTTCATATTTTAATAGGTTAGTATTACATAGTTTCTGTTTTACAATATCTTTGATTAACTTTTCATTGGAAGGATGATCTGCTGGAGAAATTACTCTATTCCAAAATGGTAGCCATAAATCTGAGCAACACTAAACTGAATACTAAGAGGCAAGACATTGAAAGGCTGAACAGTGCCATTCTCTTTTCCCCTGCACAGAAATGCACACTTTGCAGCCAGCCTGGTGCTACTATTGGGTGTGAAATTAAAGCCTGCATAAAAACATACCATTACCACTGTGGAGTAGAAGACAAAGCTAAATACATTGAGAATATGTCACGAGGAATTTATAAGTAAGGACCTATGTAATTCTTGAGTCTATAATGAAAGTGAAGATATTTCATGGCACTTCTTCTGCCTAACTTGGCTAGTCAAGTATGTTATTAAAAAAGATAATATTATTTAATTTAAAAATGGTATTTTAAAATAATTGTTGACTTTGCAAAATATTTTGGTTACTCTGCTAACTTAAAATTTCTGTAGTAGTGTTGTAATATGAGAAATGAGAAAATTAATTGACTTATATTTTCCTCCTCAATTACCGTGTAATTTATATTGAGGAAACCCTGGATAATTTATGTCATGACTCCTCCATATTGATACATTTTGTAGCTTATTTTTGGTTTTTTGGACCCTGTAACTTTCCATATTTGTTGCTGAACTGCTGGCATTAGCAACTTGTCTGCAGTTGAGTTTCCAGTGTGGCTGTGCCCACAAGAGGGCATTCTCTGAGCAGTGTAGTAGCAGTTCCTGAAAACTAGAATTGATCAAAGTTTTGTTGGCTAGTCTTCAACCTTGTTTTCTTTCTCATTTTAACTGATGCTTGACTGAAAACCGTGAATGAGTTAAGAGTTAGCAATTGACTTGTGGCACATCTGAAAACTAATTGAGAGGAAAGTCTGGTTTTGGTAGATATTTTCAGTAAAAGTCCTCACTGTTTCTTTTATTGTGCTAGACTCTATTGTAAAAACCATAGTGGAAATGATGAAAGAGATGAAGAGGATGAAGAAAGAGAAAGCAAAAGCCGTGGCAAATCAGGCACTGACCATAATGACATTCCTCAGCAGCAGCTCAATGGAAACTAGGTATGGAAGTTACTCCTGACTGATCTGTTACTGAGACTGAAACGCAATATACATTTAATGTAGTTTATTGCAGCGAAATATTTAAACCTAGTGTATGCGGATAAGTACTTTTTATTGGCATACTGTAGAAAAATGGGGAGGATTTGTTGTTTTTTTTAAATCCAGCTGACTTTGAACAGTATAAGAAAGGAGGCCCTCATTTCTATTGCTAAATATAGATGTAATGTCAGAGCTGCTAAATGCTTTTCTGTATGATTTTAAATTTACTGTTGTTTTCATCATTTTTTAAACAGGTTCAAGGGACAGAGTTATAGAACTGGGAATGGCTAAGACATCATAACTACTAATTCTTTTAAATTGTTTTCTAAAATCAGAAAAGGGTTAGTAACGTTTTACTGCCCAACTCTGTTAGAAATTTCATTGAACTGCCTGAAACGTTCATGTGTGTGAGCCTTCAGTAAGAGGCAGAGTTTTACATGTCAATATTATGTAGTTTGTAGTCTGCAGTGTCTGGAAAAAATGAAACACTATATAAATGATATGTAATATGTACAGTGTCAAAAGTTAAGGCAGACATTGAAATGAAGTAAGATCTATATTTCTGGACTGAATAAAAACCTTACGATTTGGAATGTGTAAGTTGTTTAGTGGATTCATACAATGAGGGAAGGTCTTAGCTAGTTTAATTAACAACATGGACAAGTTCGTGGTGGCAACAAGCTGGTACTTTGTGAATTTTGCTTTTTCTTCATACACAAGTTACGGAGGCTATACATGGGAAAGCTGGTCTCTGTTTTTGCTTGCAAAGCACACAGTAGAAGAGGACTCAGTGTACACCGAAGCACGCTTGAACATTTCAGGTTGTTCCTGTTGTGATTGCTCATTCCACCCAGCATTGTTTGCGGGAGATTTACTTGAGCAGCTGTTGGTTCTGAGCTGTGAGCTTTAGAACTCATGCCAAAGGGCTGTAGTTCATTCTTTCCCCAAAACCCACCTCTTTCTGTGTCCCTGATTTACAAAGAACACTTCACTAAGTGTGGTTAAAACCTTACTATACAAATGTTTGGACTCTGCAGCCCAATCTCTTTTCCTTCAGAGAGTTACAACTCAACTCACTATGGAATTTAGCCACCATATCTGACGTCCATACCTCAAGTGTTCTGTGTTGTGTGGAACACTTCATGTTTTGTCCAGAATATCCATAAAGGTCCCATATTCTGTACGAAGAATGAGGAAACAACCTTTTTTGCTAGATTGGTATTTATTTTTTAATCTTATGACCACTATATGAGAAACTTTGCTTATCATCCTTATTGTTTTAGTGATTATTTTTTCTCTTTCTGTCAAGTCAACAATCACGTCATAGAATTCTACTTGCTAGAGTTTGATGTTCGTTTAGAAAATAATCAGATCTAGGCTATACCAAACCTAACAGATCAGTCCTCTGACTGCTTTCAAAACACCTTGTCATTTGTAATGGCTACTAGCTTCTCCAATTGGTCTGTTAAAGTACATTCTCAGACTTAAATAAAACCAAAAAGCTGAATCTAGTCCACATGTTTGTCTGTTGCTATCGCATCATCATATTGTTTGTTTAGGGTTTTGACTTGTTTCACTCTGAACTCCCAACAAAACTTCTGGATTTGAAGGAAACAAGCAAAATACACTGATTTGACTATAAACTGCTACAGGTCTTCTGTGACTGGTATTGCAAAAACAGTTCATTTGTAACATGAGTCTCTGTAGCATTTTTTTACTTGTATTTTTAAAAGATTCAACATGTGTCATTTGTCTTCTTATGCATTCCCTTATTGTCTTGAGGGACTCAATTACTGTATATTGGAGTTTCTAACATTTTACCTGTTAGAATTCAATCAGTTCTGTTTGCTTTCCTGGAGAATAATGCCATTTTGGAAAGAAATATTGCTGTGTACAGAAAATATTGAGTTACTGCTCTAAACACAATGCCATTGATCATTTTTATTTTGTATTTGTAACTTTCAAAATTAAAAGCGTGACTTGAATTGCAATGACAGATCGATTACTGAAATTGTCTATCAAGGTGTTTTGTTTCTCCTAGAATATGAACATTTTTCAGCCACCCTGTTTTAGAATGCAAAATAACTTTCTTCAACGTTCAAATTACTTCTAGATTTGTGCCTCAGACATGGCCCTTCCATGGTAAAAAGGCACTTTGTTTGCAGCTACTGTATTTTAACTAAGGTTGCATGGGGTAGATCTGCCAGCATAATGATTGTATTTGAGACTGAGCTCTAATTCATAGTATGTCAGTTGCTTCGTATAATATTCAGTCCAATAATTCATCTGTTATGAAATAAATTACCCCATTCCATGCCTCGAAGAACCAGAACAGCACTTGACCTTCAGGTAGCAGAAAAGTAAGTGGCTGGTTTACCTGTTACCTTCTTTGTGCTGAGATGGCCTGCCTAAACTGTCATTAATTCAGAATTCATGGAAACAAAGTCAAAAGCAAAAATCTTTTCTTACAAGCCTCAAATTTGTCATAACTGACTTCAACTCATGTATGCTGGGTAAAAGTGCCTTACAATGTAAAAATTGTATTTATATGTTCCCAAGTAGCATCACCTGCTGGGGAGTAATTCTGTCGTGGTGTTAATATTTAGAAGAAATGTACCTCAGCAGTGTATTTACTGTACATCTCTTAACGTCCTTAATTGTAGTTTTAAAAAGCATGACAATGTATGATAGTATACAACATTTACATCATTTTTTAAAGACAAAATACTGCCATTACTGTCTTTTAATGTGTATTTTAGCTTGGCATTTCAGACAGTCTGTCTGGGTTTTGGGTTTTTTTTTGGGAGGGGGGGTTGTTTTGTTTTGGTTTGGTTTTTTGTAAAGCAATGTAATCTTTGCAAGCATATATTGAAGATTATTCTGGAGCATCTACTGCCTTCCCAGAAATGTTAGAAGTAATGAAAGTGCTCTATAGGTGAAATAGGTATTTTTAAATTAGCTAGTTAAATTAATGCAGTCTATTTGTTACTGAGATTTTTTTTTTTTAATAGGCACCTTCTGCTTTCATCTCACAATCAGAGAACTCATGAATTTAACAAAACTTGTCTTATGAAACTGGTTTCACTTTAATTTTTTTTTTTTTTTCTTTTTGCCTTTGGGCGTTTCTTTTGCTCACAAGAGTAGTGTGTGCTGTTTAAGACACCTGGAACCCTCCGAGAAGGGAGGTTGCTCCCCAACTCACTGTATCTCTGTATTAAGAGATATCCCCAACTCACTGTATCTCTATATTAACAGATCTGCGATTGTGCTATACCAAGAGAGGACTGTACCAAGGAAGGACAGGCATCAGAAGGATATTGTTCAAATAACTTGAGGATACAGCTGGTGTAATGCCAGAGTCTCAAGGCGTGATCAAACACTGTAGCAGTAAGCTGTGCTGTCACTCTATTTCAAGGAAGGGTGAAAGGCTGTTTCAATATCAGCATCAGTGCAGCTATCTAGGATGAAATAGATTAGGTGATCAAAAGATCTCTTCATTCAGCAGGTGTTGATCCACAAGAGGTTCTGTGATAAGGCTCTAGTAGGAGTTACACCTACACTCCACAAAGTATGATCTTTAGATACAAAGAGCTGTGCTGATGTAGAATGGTATGGTTATACCAAATCTGGCCCTAAAATGTAACATAAAGGAAGAGAGCTTGCTTCTTACTGCTGCTTATATGAAAAATAACTTCATGCTAAACCAGAGTGAAAGATGAAGAGGTGATAATCTATTTGAAACATCAGACTTATCTGGCAGGTGATAATCAGTGCATTCCAAAAATATATAGTATGCTGAATCAGATTGACAAGAAAATTAATCCTCATTAGATGAAATTAATCTTAAGTGAACCAAAAGTACATTACAGCAAATCGTAACTCTTCTTCCATGTCACCAGAAACAGATTCCACTGTATTAGTGCTGAAGGTTAAAAAACAGAACACAGCTCTTGATTTATATACTTGTTGAAGCCGTTTCTATATATGCATATGTATGCACATTGATTAGTCAGCAGTGACATCTCAACCCTTAAAGAATCCTGGAGAACTGTTGCTTGTCAAAAAGCACTCAGGTTAGGGTAACATTTGCAGCTTTTGCTCTAGCATACATTTACATTAGGTATAAAGACAAGGAATGTATGAAAGAGGGTAAATGCATTCCTATCTACAATGTTATGTATATTTTGTTCCTGTTATATTGGCTTTACTTCCAAAGTTGTAGTTTGCAGTATTAGTTTCTTTTTATTGGTATCCTTGCATATATATATTCAATAAATGAGTTATGAATTTCATATTTGTATATCTGTCCTTTTTCTGAAAGTATAACTTTTAAAACTGTTGTTTTAATGCATAAATGCAGTATTTCCTATTGAGGTTACAGGCCTGTGAAAATTTTACCAGGAGAGAAGTGAGAATGCATACTTGCAGTATGCCACTTACTTGGAAGTAACTGCGTATTTGTGTATTCTTCCTAGCTTTGTGCAATGGGTAAGCTCCTTTGCATTTACCACTAGTTAATAATGTGAAGTGACGGGCTCACTGAAAGTTCCCATTCTCACCTTTCAAGAACTTTTTTTTTTCTTTTTCAAGAGCAAATTAATTTAGACTACGATACCAAGGAAATGCCGAGTGTAGCACAGTTACACTGCAGAAGAGCAGCTACATCCAGGATACACTTTAGAACTGTATAAATGTAGTGTAAGAGATTAACAAAACAAAAGATCACTTGGAAAATGCTGGATTTGTCCAAATACGTAATTGCCTGGAGTGAGACCCCAATACCTTTCAGTGTTTTTAAAGTATCAAGAAATGTGTTGGGAAAAGCCCATAGGAGTTGGCCTATTGGCCTATTAATGAAGATTTTATTTTCTAAAAACAACTACATGCTCTTATGTCATCACCTTAAACAAGGAGTTGATTTAATGACCATAGTAGGTATTTACTGTGACCTCAGAAAAATCATATCCCCAGTCAGCACAGACTTAGGTGTCAGGAAAAAAGTTGTTGTGCATCATCTTCAAATAGGAGTTGCGAAATGGTCAGGTCTTGTTGATGAAGTGTAATTAATGATACTGTGATTCTGCATCCATCTTTGCAAAGGTTTCCTGAAGACGTTAGTTTAAGACTTTTATTATCATAGTTGGGAGTATTTTCACCACATGGCTTTTGATGCCATGGAAATAATTACTGGAGGCATGTTTATTTGCTGTATGTTTTTTGTGTTTTAATTCAAAGTCATCCTTTGAAGGAAGTGCAGGATATTGTTGAGGAGCCTTCTCTGTTTTGTGGATGCGACTTCTCACTGGAATAGCTGGTCACTGAAATCTTGGAACAATGGAGGAGGGACCCATGGACAGGAGCAAAAGACTTCCATTGTCCTTGTGTGGTGTGACGTTAGGGCAGAGTAGTGAATACTTCAAGGGCTCTCATCTCGCTTAGACAAGCTCTACTTATTCTGCCATTTGTAAGAGATTGCAACAACAGTAGTTATCCTCAAGCCTAGATCAGATACCTCATATGGTAAATGATTTTCAGGCAGTAGAGACAAAGGGGGATGCTGTAAACTGTGAAGGCTCAGCTTGTCTCTCTGCTTCCACCCGTCTGTTCAGAACTCAGAGTCAATAGCTTGAACTGGAAAATTAATGGAAAAGGGAAACTATCAGTGAGCTTCTAAAAGAAAGAAAGATCAAATTGCATCAAACTAATGTTGCTCCTTCTACACCAAGGTAGCAAGCTTCTTGAACAGAAGAGAAGCAGTGGGCAGAGCGTTACTTCAAGTGACTCTAATGACTTTCTGTAAGAAAGTAAGGGAATGTGGTCCGACACCAATTTAAAAGTGAGGTTATATAAACCTATTTGGAAAATGCTACTCAGAGGAATTATTAATCATTCACAGTCAGGCTGCAAGGATGTATTGAGTAGGATTCTCTACAGTTCTGCTCCAATTTGATGTTATTTGGTATTTTCATTAACAATTTAGATGGCATATGTTGATTACATTGTAGGGAGCACCAGACTTGAGCAAACTACTGACCGAGTAGAAGACAATCACAATTCAAAATTAACTTGATAAATTCAAAATAGTTAGAATGTGATTCAGTAAATCTAGCAATGGATTTGACAAATGTATGTTTGTACACTTCAGCAGAAGCAGCAATCAGCTGAACAAATACAGGATGGGATAGGACAGGCTGCTAGGGTAGCAGTTATACA